ACACCATTTAATATGGATTGAGCAGGTGTGGTTAACTGAAACATTTATTTTACAAATCATCAACATACTTGTTTTAACAGTCAACTACAGTGAATAACTAGTAAAATCAACATCATCCACAGATCAGAATATTTCAACAAAGTTAAAACTGAGAAAAGTAGTTTAGAATTACACATTTAAAAAGGTGTGGACAAATTATTGCTTTTTACAATGAAAACTTAATAGTATAACTGCCCAAAACTTAAGTTTAGAAAGTGTACTTCAAAGAGCATTTAGTGTTTTGCTAAAATTAAGTTTAATATTCAGACAGTAGGATTAATGTCATTTGAAGGATATAAACATCAACTGAATCAGACAGATCCAAAAATAAAGATGTGTATAATGTAAAAAATCAAAACAGAACTACTGAAAACATAGTAGTTTACAGGAAACAGTTTCAGTCAAAATGCTTAATAGACATAGGAATTCTTAAATTGTGGTATGCATACCACTGTTGATACATGGAGTTAACATCTGTGGTGCACAAAAAATTTATGTTAAAATTACAAAATATGTAATAAGCCCAATTTGAGCATCCCAAGTACATATACACACTATTCTACTCATTTGTAGACTCACCAGTGTTTTCTTTCCTTCACGCTGACAAAAATCACACCACAGGAAAAACAATAATTCCTAATTTTTGCCACTATGTTTTTACTCTTTTTTTAAAAAATTAGGCCTAAGTCTGGAGTTAAAAAAAGTTAAAAAAGTGGATTACAAGCATAAAATTTGGACAACCACTGGTCTAGTACTTAAACTTTAATAAAATTTTACAAACATTGGAAGAGCAAGGATTCTTCAACTTTATAAACATACACATTTCATATGTACTCCTTCAATTCATACAGTACTTACTTTGATACTTTATTAAATAGGACGATTCATTAAGTGTGTTTGGTGTGTTTTGAATTTCGTGCAAAGCTACACTAGGGCTATCTGTGCTAGCCGTTCCTAATTTAGCAGTGAAAGACTAGAGGGAAGGCAGCTAGTCATCACCACCCATCCCAACTCTTGGGATACTCTTTTACCAACGAATTGTAGAATTGACCGTCACATTATAATGCCCCCCATGGTTGAAAGGGGCAAGCATGTTTGGTGGGACGGGGATCAAATTCATTGAGAAGAAGTGACATTAGTATTTTTAACTTTATCTGAATGCTACTTACTATTATAAACCTTTACATTTCTTCTTGAAGCTACAAAGATTTTTTTAATACAAAAATACAAATAATGTTAGGTAGAAAAATACATTATAAAAATCATTTTATATGATTGTAACGTTTACAAACATTCTTTTCATCAGTATTCTCTTTAACATTTTTTCTTTTCAAATAAGTTTACGTTTATAATGTTAATTTGTTCTCCTTTGTAACTAAGTTATTTTATAGTTGTCTGCTTTCTTACTATTATAGATTAATTTACCATTTGGATGTTTTTATTTTTGTCTGTTGATCATTTGTTACCTTTGTTTGGTGTCTTAAAAAGGCAATTTTATTTTTTAGACTATTTTTATTATTGCAAGTTTAGTGGTAAGCATGTACCAAACTGTGAATCTGAGGGTCTCATTATCACAAAAGTTGGCAGTGCATATTGTTGAGTCGCTGCTTTTTCTTTAGTCTATCTGTTCAAAATCAGGAACAGCTAGCACAGATAGCCCTTGTGTACCTGTGTAGAAATTTCTGAAACAAACAAACAATTCTCATTGCCTTGTCAAGTTAAACCAAGCAACTTTAATTGGTTTTTGTTTCCAAAATTTTGTTTTAAAGGAACAGATTCTTTATATAAAATGGAGGTAGAATAAATAGATATTATAAATGGGAAAAGAATATTTTTTGCTAATATTGTTTTAGTTTAAGTTTTGACTTTGTTTTCTTTTCTCACTGTTAGAAATCAAATGATTACATCCAGTTGTTTGCCTTGTTGGCTATTGGAGAAATAGGGAAGCACATGTAAGTGTTTTGCTTCTCATTTTCTTATTTTTACATTCCAAGATCTTATTTTTTCCTAACACCATTTCAGTAGTGTCAGTATTTGCGTTCAAAACAGAAATATTACAAAAAAAAATATTGTGAATAGTTCAAAATTACATGATACAAATATACATACGTACAAGTATATAACAAGTATTTTAAACAACTAGAATATAAGATGACTTCTCATTTTAAGAAAGAATAAAATCATCGTAATTTAAATTTCAAATGAAGGCAATTACCTGTATGTCGAGCAAAAACTGTTGAACAACATTTAAAGCCTCTTCTGGACAAGTGATTGTAAGAGCAGCCACACATTTAGCAATAGAATGGAAAGCCTGCTTGTGGATCCCATGAGCGGCCACACTACCAGTGGTTGCCCCAGTCTGGTACACTGGAGCTTTTAGTTTCTGTACAGACATAAAACACAGTTACACTTTTTATAAATCATGTTATACCAGCTCATTTGATACTTGCACATAACAAAGGTAAGTATTGGCAGTTTTAACCTAACAGCATGACTTTAATTTTTAATTTTGGATAACGAAAATAGTGGTCTACAAATAAAATATTTTTTAATGTGTGCACATGCACACACACAGAGAATAAAATATATTACTGAACTAAAAACCCATTTCTAACATATTAAACATGATTCTTGATCTTAATGTTTAGACATGCTATCACAATATTTTATTATTGTCAAAAATTACTTTATAAGAAAAAGCATTTGATGATAGCTGTTACTTACAATAAAAGAGAAAACAACTATTTCATTACACACTTTAAGAACCTTTTACACACTCAATTTTAATAAAGCATTTATTCAGGAAAAGAAATTCTCTGTAAGTAAATGTGTGTGGGGATACATAATATTAATTAAACATGAAAACCATGTTTCCATTTCCAACAGTTAAATTGACTAGTATGCCAGGAGATTTAGAAGATTATAGAATGTAAGAATTAACAGTAGGGGTTTCTTTAAATACATTAAGAATAAACAAAAGGTTAGGATGGGGGTAGGACCCTTGAGGGATGATCAAGGAAGGCTTGTAACTGATGATTGTGAGAAGGCTGGGTTATTAAAATGCTTTTTCTTCAGTTTTTACTAATGAATATTTAAGCAGTATTCAACATCTTGAACAGTTGTTAGATGAAAACAAGATGACTCCATTAATCCGGAGCTGGTTAAGAAACAATTGGGAAGTTTTGAAGAACAATAAGGCTCCTGGGCTAGATAATATATCCCCAAGGGTTTTGAAAGAGGTCAAGGATTGGATATGTGAGCCACTTGCTTCAATTTTTTAAAAGCCCTTAAATAGTGGGCAAGTACCAGAGGATTAGAAGTTAGCTAATGTCATTCCTCTTTTCAAGTGAGGTGATAAAAATAGTCCAATGAATTATAGACCCATTAATCTTACATCAGTTGTGGGAAGAGTTTTGGAAAGTCTGATAAAAGATGCTTTGCAAAGCCATTTAACAAATTTAGAA